GCTAATGCGCCGTTTGTTGATTTTTTCACTTTCTGTTCTGCAATGTGATTGGTTAGTGTTCTCTAAGTGGCCCCACTTACAGTAGACGCACTGTAACCGCAACTGAACATTATTGTCGTTTCATTAGTTTCTTGACTAGCTCACTGTACTCTCAGTCATATTTTGCACTTGGAGAGTCTCTTTGTTTATTTTAAGAGGTCATACAGCTCATATTTGATAGAATATGTTAAATGTCCAGTCGTAGCTACTAACTGTTTTTTTCTAGGCCAGATAAGTAAATATAGCAGCGCGTGAAGCCTCGTCCGCAGGCATCCCTTTAGATTGGCGGGCAAAATTTGCTTGCAGGCAAAAAAATTGTAAAGTATGTGAACCACGAGATGTCTGCGGAGGAGGCTATAGCGCGTGGCAAACATATATGGGTGTCTGAATTTCAGTCACCCTTATTTTCCATTGCGAGCTATACGGGTTTCCGAATTTCGGACACGCTTATATTCTATAATTTCTATTGCGAGTTATATGGGTGTCTGAATTTCAGACACTCTTATATTCTATTGCGAGTTGTATGGGTGTCTGAAATTCAGACACGCGTATAGCCCGCAATAGAGTATAAGTGTGTCCGAATTTGAGACATCCATATATAACTCGCAATAGAATATAAGAGTGTCTGAATTTCAGACACTCATATAACTATATCTTGCATGATCGTTTATTCAATTTCCAGCGATAGGGGTGTCTGAAATGCAGACACTCCTATATGTTACGCCAGTTATTCTATTGCAGATGCATTTTAGCAGACAGTTCATTTTTTTGTTTAATACTTTGGTATTGTGCGGTAAAAAGAACACTTATCAGAATAATCGGCGAAAATTTGATAAAAACATTAAAAATAGGGATTTTTCAACCAATTCCTTCGATTTTGATTGATTTTGGAAATAGACTGTACACACTCAGCACAAATTATAGAAAAATAACAAAAACGTAAGCCTGAAGAACTGCTGTCAGCGAAAATCAAGATTATAGGCTATATCAATACAATTTCGACACAAGTTCGCGGGAAATCGCCTTTTTCTTTGAAATTTGGGGGCAAAATTACGATGACTTGGCAATAATACCGAATTTTGGAAATTTCCGCAAAATATTGCAAATTTGAGTCAAAATTCGAGGTTTGGAATTGTTCAAAATTCTTTGGAACGCGTTAAATTGGCCACCTTTTTGAGGTAAGACGATTATATATATATATATATATATATATATATATATATATATATATATATATATATATATATATATATATATATATATATATATATATATAT